GAATATATTACCTTAAATGATACTACCAGGTACATTTCATTGGAAACCTGAGGCTTAGTCATGTCACTGTAAGTGAATGGGACTCTTATTCAAGAGTTACACATAATTTGTTGGGGAGAGATTAATTTTGTATAAAGTTCCGGATAAATAGATTCTTTGCTTGATTTCACCAAAAGATGACGGCCGAATTTCATTGTTCTGCAGCCAGTTGGCTGTTAATACGACCTTTCAGTTGACGCTTTCTACGAGACGACCTCCCTCGTTTTGGAGGAAAATGGACTTCGCTTTCGTCCATCATATGATGCATGTAGGTTTTAGAGACATACTTACTCACGAAAAAAAACGTCGTCGATTGCAATAGCAAATGTAAGTTTGCTTCATCGAGAATACCAAAACAGAATGTGATATGGGAAATGCTTGACATTGCTTGAAATGCACATCTTCCCTGAGATTCAAAGGCAATCGTGACAATGTGAAGTAATGGTCAACGTGTCGGGCTTACATGCTGCCCTGTCAGGGTTCAACTCAGGCTTGGGGTGCTGATAAAACATGGGCGAGGTCGAAACTACAGTCCACTTTAGCCTGAATGACCACATCTTTTGGGAAACAAGCCTTAGTTAAATTGAATGGAAAACATCAGCTCTAGTCATGTGATTGTGGGAAACTTCAAATACCAGCTCTCCATCATCTTAAACGAAACAAAGTAAACGGATTTCTTGTATCCACTTTATTCTTATACCCATCAAGATTGCAAATTGTCTTAACAATGTGAAAGTCATTTTTTCACTAAACAAGCCTCATGAACCGAGGCACAACTAATCATAGGATATGTATAACTATCAAGAAGAAGCTATTCTCTCTACATGAAGACTATTAATCCATTGTTTGTTAAACCAGTGTGATTGAACTTGTAAACAACCCACTCCTACACAGAAAAGATGGAGATTCCCGAACCTTAGTGAAATTATTTCTGCCCTACAGCATTATGGCTGTGGCTTTATTGACTAGCAGATAAGGTACAGACACACGATTGACTGAAACTAGGCGAGGTCTTAGTCTTATTAACTACAAGTAAGGAAGAATATGTTAAATTGACATTTAAATGCCTACAGCACTGCATATCTGAGAATATACTTCAAAATGTGAAGAATCGTATTGGGCCATAGGCATATGGTTTTTATAGAATTCGTAAAAATTATAAGGATCTGATGCTAACGGAAGGTATAGAATAGCTAAATTTAGGTGAGATTTCGCTTGGTTACACACTCTACGAGTAGCGACTTGCCTCACGATGAGATGAAGCCTTATATTGCTTTTGTGGATTAATTTTGACCTAAGAATGTATCCTAAAATGCTGCTAAAATGTCAATACCTGATTGCAGTGTCGACCTCACTTCATCGTTCTATCAGCATTGCCGGCGACATAAAAACCGTTGTCTAATGGGTCAAGAGGATACCACACTTGACCCTAATCTGCACCGTCACAGACACAGCATCTTGCTCGACAAGTATGACTTTCGATGCAAGGCAGGCCTGTCTAAAATAACGTCATTTTTGGAGGCAATTCGCAATAACAGACGACCGAGTTCTTTTCAAGTCAAACCGCATCAGGTGCCTGACGGTTGCGAAGTGAAATTGTTACTGATTACTGAATTATGCTTTACTTTTCTACGCTAGACGGAGAGAAAGACTCGTGAACTCTTCGTCCTCCACTATTGCACTCTCATACAGCACAGACAGCAATCATACTCTCGGCCAGATCTCTTTGTTGGTGAGTCCGTGGGGTGTTGTGAGAGCCAGAGGCAAGGTCTGCTGAGCTGGCGTAAACCGGCTTGGTAAAACACGGCGACAGGTCGAGTGGGTTGTGAAACTGCTGCCAAGTCTGTAATAAAGTGAAATGTGTGGGCAAAATGCGGTGCTAATCGGATTAGCAAATAGACACTCTTGTTAGTTGAGGAGAAAGAGGCCAACACTGACGATGAACAAGGAAACATCCGACGTGTAAAGATCATGTAATGCATAAAATAGCTTCTTCCTACTTGGCGAATGGTGCAATATTTCTTCTGTACAACTCAATTGGCAACATGAAGAAATTCGAGATAACTATTTTGTGCAGCGTATCTATGCTCCATTCCCCTTGAAAACTCCATTTCTTAGAATGATGATGCCTTAGCATTACAGAATATTTCTTGCATGATATTCATTGTAACTTGATTTTCTGCTACAAACACTTTCCTGGCGCGAAGCCGTTTTCTCAAAATATCCTCTCAGCCTGACTATCCAAGCTGGCAATACCAAATGTGCACCATTTTGATGATTTCAAGCATCAAAAATCGAGAGTTGTGCTTTTCCACAATTGGATGAATAGCCTCACTTTTCCATTACATTGCACATCACCTTGCCTTACAAAATGTGTTCTCATTCCGCCTAAATTGGAATTTAGTCTCGATCTCGCCTGAACTGGTCTCATTTTACACTCCCCGCCGGACTCGAAACTGCATTGTGATAGTGCAGTGTACAATTTCGACACGTTATCCACTACAACACATTGCCACGGATGCCTCCCATTACAGGGCAGATGGGAATTTAAGGAGATCTATGAAATTTCCTATATCACATTTTATGTGATCCTTAAAATTGCTTCAAATGTTACGAGTGGTGTAATATTTGATGCAAAAGACTAATTTGCAACTTGATTTCAGTTTTTTTAGAAGTGCTTTTCTATTCAATACTCACACATTTGCATTTTATAAATATTATCACTTCAGAACTATTATTCTTGTTCTTTTTATCATCATTTTCTTCTCATTAGTCTTTGTGTAGGCATCCAGTAGCCACATACGCTATCTGCAACTAGGGCATCGAATCCGTTTTCTCAAAATATTCCAATACCAAACTTCGGAAAATTTAGATTTATTCATCATATTTCGTTTCATTTAATGAAGCATTGGTCATTCATCTTTCCCACAATTATTTGAGTGAGCCTATCACTTGGCCTTAATTTTTTGGATGTATTTCTATGTGAAATTCAATTTACACGTAATCCATAGTCATTTCATTGTGGGAAACTTGAACCATTAGTCTTCCATTATTCTATGGCTCTATTTAATATCGCCTTATAGTTTTAAAACCTACTCATTGCGAGTATGAATAATAAGGGAAATTCATTTGAGATCTGAGACCTCATGTGATTATGGGGATATTCAACTAGCACAACCTTATGCAGCATAGTGTAAATACAGTTTTTAAACAAAATGATATTTTAATAGAGCTTGCAATGAGCCATAAAAACACCGGGAAGCAGGTTTTAATCATACATGCTTTTCTCTTGATTCTGTCTCTATAATACTGTGAATTGATATCCTGTACAGCTGTGTTTTTCTGCTCATCTTTCTTAATAGTTGCACATACAACCCTCCTGATTCGGGTCTGAGGCTGCCGGGCTTTAGTGTCCTGGTCGACTCGAGCTCGACGCCGCCGAATTCCGTCTATGAAGCTGTATGGTTGAAGTCGCACTCCCACTTGGGGCCCAACAATTCGACCAATCCGCGGAGGTGTTTGCGATCGGGCCAGTTCAGTTTGACCAACGCGGGCGGCTTGTTGACGACTGGAAGGGATGACTCGAAAGCCGAGATGATTGTAATTTGGTTCAGCTGTCGTGTTCGACTGTGCCAATCCGACGAGAACTGTCTCGTCAGAGCCCGACGTCTGGTGAGCTTCGCCTCGACCTTCCACAGCATTCAGCAAATTTGATTTCAGCTTTAGCGTCGCTCTCGCCTCCGTGTCCCTCATGCTTCAACGAAGCTGCCATTGGTGGGGATAAGCAGTGCTTTGGTTCGTGTGTGTGTGTGTGTGTGT